ACTGATAGCTAGACACTCAAACACAGAATCCGAATTTTTCCTACCTGGCTGGCTGTGTCTTACGATCGACTTGAATCGCGTGACTTACGACTAGACACTCTTCCGAGTTCAAAAATTACCGCTTAACCAGTGCTGCCAACACGACAAAACACAATATCCGACGACCCCCCCTTCCCGCCGCAGGCTTGATCAAAAAACCCAGCATCGCCGACAAAGATGCACCACCGCCGACACAGTCTTTCCGCCGTAGGCGGGATGACAAACACCGGAATCTAGTCTTATACTATAAAACGTGAACCCGAGGGCGCAGCTTGTGGAGTAAATCCGAACTGACTTAGGGAACCCTCCAATCGGAAAATTACATTTCTATCCGTGGGCGGTCTCCCGGAGCCGTCGCTGCGTTATCACTCCTCTTATCACTTTTTGCCGTTTTTTTCAAAAATCAAAGAAATTTCGAAAAAAATCGAGTTTTACCGCCCCGGGGGGCCTCGGGCGGCCCCGTTCGGACCTTATTCGCGTTCCTCGGTAAATTTATAGTCGGCGCGCGGCCCTACTTTTTTCCCGGCGAGCCCGCGGCGGCGGATGTCGCGTGCGATACGAGCGCCGCCGTCGCGCGCGTTTTTTGCATTTTTTTTCGAAAATTCGAGTTTTAGGCGTTTTGGGGCTTATCGACCTCCCCGTTTGGATCTTATTCGCGTTCCCCGCTAAATTTAACGTCGAAACGTGGCCCTACTTTTTCAAAAACGAGTCCCCCGGCGGACGTATCGATCGCCGAGGGCGCCGCGTCGTCGCCGTTTCGACGGTTTTCTCGACTTTTTCGAGTAAGACTTTTTCAGTAAGTATACAATATACATGTATAATATTGTATACCTACTTGTATCATTTAAACATTAAAATATTTAAAAATTTTGAATACCAATTTAAATGTATAATACCAAAGGTTAGGTATACATACAGGTACCATATAGTGATGGAGGTAATTTATGACAATTATATATAAATATAAAACTTATTTAAAAATAAAACAAAATATATTAAAATACTTATTATTTCACGAAATATTTAATTTTTTTAAATTTCATGAAATTTTCAAACACTACTTTCATTCATATCCTACAATTTTGTATTTATTTAGCGCTATTAAGTTTACAAATATTACTTACGGGTGACGACATCGGGGTCGACGTCGCGAATCGGGTGGGCGCCGCGGAAGCCGACCTTTCGGCGAGACTCCGCGGCGGCCTCACCATGATCGAACCCCGGGTCCCACGTTGGACGGCTGGTGGTCTCGGCTGCACTCGAGCTGGCGTGTAAGGGGCTATAAATATAACAAACATTATTAATTTCATTTTTAATTTATTATTAAACTGCGATATACACTTACCGAGGCATTGCCGGACCGTGTGCCCTTGCTTTTGGCACCCCCAAGTAACAATAAAATATTTTTAAAACATTTAAAACATATCATAACATTTTAAATAAAACGTTTTTTAGAATAATATTTTTTATATATTTAAAAAATATATTAAATTGATTATTTTTTAAATAATATGTTAAGAACATTTTTTATTAAATATTTTTATGAATAACATTTTTCACATATTTCAAAAATATTTTTAACCGATTAATTTTTAATTAATATTTTTATGACATTTAATCTAAATTATTTTTTTATTAATATTTTTTAAATAGCTTATAAACTTTTAATTAATAACTATATATATAGTAGTATATATTAACAAATATATACTATATATATAGTAGTATATATTATATTAACAAATATATAATTATTTATCAGTGTATATTTATGTAAATATATATATTCATGGTTGGTGAGAGGGTGGGGCAGGGGGGCATAGCCCTGAGGCTCTATATGCACGGGTACAAGTAAAGGAGCCCGAAATTGATCAGCCCCGGGGCCCACAAGAGTTCTCGTCGGCCCTGTGTATATTATATATTATTATCTGCAAGACGCCAAGACCGCATTAAAAAATATCATTTGCATGCGCCGCGTATCATTATATTGCTATCATTCTTATAATTTAAAGTTCTTTGATATTAATTTATAGAACAAGGAATATTATATTACAATATTGTATTGCGTAAATATGCATTTTAGATTCTGCAATTGTAATACCTAATTATAATAATAATAGTGATAAATGTACTGCAGGTTTTACAAATCTGTATTTTCGGGCGTAGAAATACTGTTCCAAAAGTGAATCCAGATGCTTAAAAGATTGGAAAGTACGTCTAGACCTAGTAGTAGTATATATATATATTAGTATATTCTAAGTCAGCTCGTTATTTTTCCGCGGTAATTACAACACGTTCAAGCGGGAATGTCCACTCAGAGCACACTGATTTTACCGCGTTACACAAACCACGGGGAGATTACACACTCGTTGTCCATCTATTTTCCGATCAAACAAAATAATTAACGTATACCATTATACAACGAAAATGCATGGATAACAATAATTGTGAAATCTCCCTGTAAAGTATGTTTTAAGGTAAATATTTTTGTGTTAGTGGCATATAAGTGGACAACGAGTGTGTACCCTCCCCGTGATTTGTGTTACGGTTAAATCAAGGTAAAAACGCTTACTGTCAGGCAAGACCACGTGCATAACATACTATAAGTTTCCCCTCCTCCCTTTTTTTTTGTTAAGTATTTCTCAGCCGGGTTTAAACTTAAGTGGACCGTTTCTTCACCAAACGTTTTGGTTTAGGCCCTTCTAAATCGTACTTCCGGAGTCAGGAGTCCTCGACCCCCCCCCCCTAGGTGTATTTTGGAAAACGTTTAGTTTATGTACTACGTTTCTGAAATTCAATATTTGAGTAGATTGTAGGTAGGTGATTAAATTCGGTGTCTTGTGTCGTGACCGCAGGAGCCGTTTTTTCCCATCTTCTGGGGCTTTGAAAGTTAAAAATTGGAGTTTTTTCAGGTTTCTTTGCGCGAACACTTAGATTTTGGGTGGGGCGAGCCGTTTTTGTAGTAGGATGTTATAGAGGACTTCGTCCCGGGTCGATGGGTACCAAGATCGAGGTTATCCGATAATTGGTTCGTGAGTTATGATTTTTCGTTTGGTCGTTGTACTTAGAAAATTACGTAGTTACGTGTTTTTTTGGATTCATTTTCGATTTAAATCACTACGAAACTCGTAAACCTGGTATTTTGGCGTTCGACGATTCAGAAAAGGTCCATAGTTGAAATGCGTACGACCAATATTTCGCCCGTAATCGGTGTAGAAAAGTTGAAAAATGCATTAAGTGATTTTTTGTATACCTATTATATTTCTATTATAATATAAGTTTGTTTTAAGTTTTGAGTAATAATTATTTTGAATTTTTATTAGGTATTTGGTTAAGTTTTAACGTTTTACTCTTAGGTCCGTGCTATTAAAGTGTGTTTGATTTTATAGCCCCGAGTCGTTTTTAAAGTGTGAACCTTTTTTAATATGAGCCATTTGTTCGTGTTCTTTTTTTAAAATTATGTTTTCGTTTGTTTTCGGTTTTGGTTGACCAGTGATCGGCCCATTTTCGACTTTCACTGTGTGTATATTGGTAGGCTAATCATTTTTAGGTCAAATAATTCAAAATGTACAAGGTTTTGAGTAAAAAATGCCTGTACTTTATAATATATTATATTTTAGAAAATGTTATCATCAATGGGTGGCTTCTTATATCAAGTATTTTTCATGTACAAATAATATGAAACATAATATTGTATTGTATTTGTATATTTCTTTTGAAATTTAAAAATAAAATAATTTTACTTATTGGAACCTATATAGTAGGCGTTATCAATCCTAGTCCCTAGATTAATAAATTGCCAGTGTGCTTATACTGCTTATAGCCTACGACAACAGCTGCAGTCTTTACGGTCTCCTACGGAGTACGGACACGCAGGAACGCGTCACACTCACTACTCACACACACACACCATAGATAAAAGTTGTTTACCGCTTTGTCCGATTGTATGTTTATATATAAACTTGTCGGCGTTGGCGCGGCTGGAACTGGGTAATTGCAGACAAAAAAAATAATACAAATCTATTAATAATACCACATATTTTGATATTATGTGATAATAATATTATATAATATCATATTCGATGGGAATAACGATCGTAAATCGTCGGTGTGGTAGTGGTTTGTGCGATAATAATAAATAATTATTAATCTGTCCGCTGTCGAACATTTCGGTCACTCGCCAGTCGCTACTCGCTCCGCTGTTTATTCAGATCAACATCAACATCAACGCGCTTTGTCAGTACAAGTAAGTACCTACCTACTTATTAAAATAATAATTATAATAGTAAATAATGATATTAATTATAAATTTGTATAAATAATGTTAGGTAGGTAGGTATATAGTTTTTAATTCCGGGTGATGCTTTTAACGTTCTACAATTTTCTTCTGACATTTTTCAATTTATATTTTTTCTTAATGAAAAGAAATGAGGTTTTAAGTTTTAAAAATAATGGCACAAAACTTGTTACGTTAGGTACCTTTATCAATTTTTAGTTAATGGCAATTTTGAAAATTGTGAACTTATTTTAGGTAAACACACTTAATAATAAACTGAAATAGCAGGTAGGTACCTACCTACTACTATGTACTATTAGGTTTATATAATATAATACCTATTACCTATAAATTATAATATAGGTACCTAATATTTAAGATATTTACAATATACCCATTACCTACTATAACATCTATAACTATTGAATCGTGATAATTATAATTATTATTATAATCTGTATCAATAATATATTATATTCAGTGATAGTTATTGATAATACGCGGCAAATTGTAGGTACCTACTCGCCTCATTTTTTTTTTCATTTAAATTATTTTTTTTTTCTCCATCATTTATATTTAATACATATTTGTTGAGGCGTTATGAACTTATGTTGTAGGTGTATCACCTGTTATTCAATCTTACCGTTACTTCAAACTTTTTAAAACAGATTACAAATATTGAAATATGTCCAGAAAATTATCAAAATTTCATGAATTATCTGACAGAAGTAAACGAAGGCGGGCTGATGAAGCTGGATGCTCTCACTTTTCTTACAATATATCTTCATCAGATATTGAAATAACTGCAGTCTCCCCATTACTCGATAGAAATATCCAAATCCCTCCAATTGTTTTATACGACCAAATAAATGTAAATTCAGTTCCTTCTTATAATGATGATTTTCCTAATGATGATCAATATCAGTTTGGAAATATTAACAATGATTTTATTAGTAGTAGCTATAGTAGTTTTAGTAACAGTGATAAAAGTAGTGATGAATCTATTCATGAACCATATTTTCAAACAAGCCATGAAAATGAATCTCCCACAGGCATTAAACATTTTCTTAAAAATTGGGCTATTAAACATAATGTAACAGAAGTGTGTCTTTCAGATTTATTGGTTGGCCTAAAAAATAATGTTGATGGCTTATCTAAGTTACCATCTGATGCTAGGACTCTGTTGAAAACAAATATAGTTTTTGAGAAAAGTGTTGTTGAACCCGGTAGCTATATTCATTTTGGTCTGGAAATGCAGTTAATACGTTTAATCTCTAATATTCCATCAATTAACAATATACAGGACCTAAAACTATTACTTAATATTGATGGCTTACCATTATTCAAAAGTTCAGCCGGTCAAGTGTACCCTATATTAATTGCAATAATGAATGTTCCTCAATTAAAAAATATAGTGTTTCCTGTAGGCATTTATTATGGTATGCAAAAGCCTAATAATATATTTGATTTTCTTAATCCATTTATTAATGAGCTGGTTGATTTAATGACAAGGGGTATAATAACTGAGCTAGGAAATAAAGTATCTGTTAAACTCATTGGTATATGTTGTGATGCACCTGCTAAAAAAGATTTATTAGGTATTAAAGGACATGGAGGCTACAATTCTTGCACTAGATGCACAGTTCATGGTAGAACGATTGAAAGAAGGAGAACTTTTACCAACTTGGACTGCCCAATGAGGACTAATGATGATTTTATAAATTGGGTAGATGTTAATTTTAGACAATCAGATACGCCATTGGTTAGAATACCTGATTTTGATTTTGTTAAGTCAATTATTCTTGATTTTATGCACCTCGTATGTTTAGGTGTAATGAGAACAATGCTCTTAATTTGGTGTAATGGTGAACTTCCACACAAACTATCGCGAAAACTTATTCAAGTAGTTTCAGATTTTATGACAAACAATCGTAGAAGTTTACCTGTAGAATTTGTTAGGCAGCCTAGGGATTTAAAATATTTGTTGCGATTCAAAGCAACAGAATATCGTTCTTTTTTATTATACTTGGGACCAGTTGCTTTAAAAGGAGTTTTGACTGATGAAAAATATAACAATTTTCTTACATTACATGTAGCGATTTCAATATTGTTAAATCCAAAAAGTTGCCAGAAGCCAGATTTAACTGAATACGCCAGATCGCTTCTTCGGCATTTTGTGCAAAACTTTATGAACTTATATGGCGAAATGTTTATTACACACAACTTCCATGGCCTTATTCACTTAGCTGATGATGTACAGTACTTTGGTACCATTTTAGACTCTATTACCCTCGATACAATTTCAGCGTTTCCATTTGAAAACTACCTACAAACTATTAAAAAAATGATTAAAGGAAAGAATAAACCCCTTGAACAAATTGGAAAGCGATTAGGTCAGATATTCTCTATCCATTCAGAATTTCCATCAACCAATACATGCAAATTTCTGGAGGATTTTCCAAAATTAAAAAACGCTCATTCGAATGGGTCTCTGCCTCCTTACTGCAGTGGTCCACAATATTCTACACTGCTATTTTCTAATTTTACTATTAAAATCTTACCTCCAAATAATTGCTGTGGGACAAAAAAAGGTGAGGTTATTGTAGTTGAAAATATTTGTTATTCAACAAAGCTTAACTGTTATGTTATTGTAGGTAGAAAATTTTTAGATAAAAATGACTTCTTCAAAAAACCTTGTGAAAGTTCCTGTATAGGTATTTTTGAAGTTCAAAAGCAATCTGTTCTTAAATGTTGGCCTATTAATGAAATAATAACTAAGTATGTTTACTTCAAATACAAACAAAGTTTTATCACTTTTCCACTACTTCATACAGTTTAAATAAATAAGCACTCCTATACTAATACATAATATTGATGTACACTATTAAATAAATAAACACTCTTAATTTTAATAATAATAATAATAACTACTTCATACAGCTTAAATAAATAAACACTCCTATACTTACATAATAATATTTATATACAATATTTATAATTTACTATGATCTATATTCATAGATAGAATATCCATAGTATTTTGTGCAAGGATTGAAACTGGTTCAATATTTTCCTCGTCTTACAGTATTCCTTAAAGATTTTCCCTTTTTATGGCTGTAATGTTATTTAGTTTAGTCAGAATGTGGATATTAATACACATAATTGATAACGGAGAAAAAGTGCCAGATGTCATTCCCAACGCATGGAAAATTGACCAATCAAGTTGCTGGTATCCGAAAAACTTAAAGTCGAATATCATAAATTCTTTAGCACGGAAGCAAATCATGCCCGACCATAGTAGTGATGATTGGGAATATTGTACTATGCAAATTATAGAGACCAATATAAGTGAGTAATATACCATAAAATATAATATACATATACCTATAATATATTGAATAAGTTGTTTTAAATTATATAATATATTATGACTTCTAATTATTCTGCAATAAATTAAAGTTACCTTTATTGAATTAAGAATTTTTTTCTTGATTCTTAGCTAGCTTAACTATTTAATATAATGTATTAATTATAGGTGATTTTCAAATTGGTCTTAAAATGATGGTAAAGTTGGCAAAAAATGCTCAAAATTTACATTCTGATTATGAGCAGAGGGGACGAGGAAAAAGAACTAAGTCATCAAAGCGCTTATTTGACAATTTAGATAGTGAATGCTCTGTTGATGAAGACATTGAACCATTAAGAAGTAACAAAAAAAAGACCGTATCATTCCCTGTTTTTCCTTCAAACATAAAAGGTGATATAATATTATGCTACACATCATGTTTGTTATCTCCATCCATCATATACAATAAGTACACTAACACCTATTACTATGCAAAATTTAAATTGTGGAGTTATGGTTGTTCGATTTAGAATTTAAACTCTTAAATTTGAAGATGAAAATACTAGTGTTCACAGCTGTCTGTGTTTGTTAGTTATTCAAAATATTAATTTTAAATCTCTTTAAAATTTAAAAAAAAAAAACAATTATACTTTATTCCAAATAAGAAACACCACGGTGCCATCGGTTTGCTAAGTAAAAGTTGGTGTTTCTTATTTGGTCTAGAGTATAGTGTAACTCAGATACCATAATAATAATAATGAGTTACGTAAATTAGCTCTATTGTCTTAATAAACGGAGAAATTGAATGCTAGCTTGTGTTGCATTCTTTATTAATATAAAAATGTATTAAATGTTACAATATATTTTTTTTTTATAATGTTATAATTTCTACAGACAACACTAATGATGAAACACTTCTAAACATTGCTAATTGTACACCATCAAGAAAAACTTCATTATCAAGTCAAGATAATATATCAAACGAGGAAACTTTAAGCACAACGGTATCCACCCCAACATGTTCTACAAGTAAGTCGGATGTTAAAATGTCTTTATTACTTGAGTGTTCCTGCAGTTATAATTATTGTTTTATTTGACTTAAAATATTTTTCAGACAACATATCTGTATCAAATGTTTTTGAATGTAAATTAGCCAAAAAATCACATTCTTGTACTTTTCAAAATTGTATTAGTAATGATAAAGAAACCTTGCTAGTTTCTATAGCCCATCAACTATGTAAAATATCTGGTAAGTATTAAAAAGCAGTTAACTTAGCCCGAATGCATATTAATTAAATATTTTAATTTTAATCATAGCTGAAAATAAGAAAATAACATCAAACATGTTTTATATTAAACAAGAATTAAATTCATTTATGGAGAGTAAAAAATCAAGCCATTGTGATGAGTATGAGCCAACCAGTTCCAAAGAAAATGCACTAGCACCATTCCCTTTGAAAAATGAAGACGAGCTCATGTTAATTGAATCAAAATTAAAATCTGAAGATTTATCATTCACAAATAAATTGGTAGGTCACTAAAATTTGAAATTATTTAAAAAAATCAATTGTATGGTCTCCATGTATTCTAATAAGTATACAATTTTATATTTATTATATCATTATTGTACATATTTTATTATTATTTTATTATATTACACATTTTTATATTTTTAGCTAATATAAAGTAATTAAATTATCTTATGTAGATATATGGAGAAATACCATATAATATTTAATAATCTATTATATAATATATATTATTAAGTATTTATATACAGTATTATTTTTTAAAGTTTATGAAAACAAACAATAATCATTTATGTATTAAAAAATTTAACATTTCCTCTATAATTATTTTACACATATATTTTATAGGTAACTTCGTTTGTTTTTGCTTCGGAAGGAAAATCAGTCCAAAAAGTCACTACAAATATGCTTAAAACTATATTTTCTTATGAATTAGCTTCACAATATAGTTGGAAAGGCCAGAAGAACAAAAAAAAATTACATACTTTGAACATTTTTAAAGTCATTATAGGTAAATATAAATTACTTAATTTTGTTTAGTAAGAGGGTTAACTTTTCTCATTTATAAATTATTTTTTTAATTTGTTGTTGCTCTTATCAGTTAAAGATCTTGAAAATACCAACATTTTAAATTTATAAATATCTGGATCAATAATATCATATAGCATAATTTATCTATACACGTGGTAGCGTGTCAAGCCCTAAGTTCTAGCCAACAGAACTGGCGAGCAGCACCGTGTTTAATATTACACGAACCATTTGGAGCCACTTTTGACCCCCTCATAACTAAAAAACCATTCCACATAAACATGTCATATATGTTTTTGGTGGTTAATACTTACAGTTTTAGTTTTATTTAAAACAAATTCAAATATTTATAATAGTTTCATCATAAAACTCCAAGAGGTTTAATTATTAGTTACCACCTAGCTTCATACCACTAAGTGTTTTTTTGTTATTTTTTAAAAATATACTTAAGATACATATTTTACTGATTTATATTAGAAGCAGTTGGCAAAAAGTTTCCCAACGAAATAAGCCTGAAATGTTCAGTTATTCAATCGATTCAAACATGGTTTGCTCGAGCGCCCTATCAGTAAGTGTTTTATATTATATTAATTATTTTTATCATATGCTCAGTAAAACCTCCTTCGAAGTCTCTTTAAGACTGAAACCTTCTTATAATAGAAAATTTCTACATCTCCATACATAAAATTATATGAAAAACTATATATACTAGGAAAAGTTAGTTGGTTCCAATAGTAAAGTTCTACTATAGATAGGTTTTACGGCATTACACGTGTTAATGTCTATAAATATCGGCAGACACGAGTATTTCGCTCGCACTAAATCACCATTTTTTATAAATACTTCTAACAAAACTACAGAAAAATCTAAATAATTATCATTTTAACCACAAAACTTAATGTCATGAAAATAGGCTCGAATATCAAATATTTAACCTGTTTACTCTTATCAATACCGTAATAAGATAATATATGAATAATGAATTGGTTAAAATAACTTCCATGGATTAATAATTAATTACAATATCTCTTATTGGGTTAATGTAAACATGATACAATAAGAGATGGAGAACATACACTTTGAAGCTGATGGACCATGCAACAATATTCTAATGTCTGTAAATAACTGAATCCGAAAATACTTATAAGTTTTTATTAATTTAAAAAATATATTACTTTCACATATTATACAAAGTAGTCATATGAACAATAAAGTTCTGTTTTAATTCTAAATCCTAATAAATGCAAACATACTATTATAACTTGAATAATTTTAAAAAGTATATCAAACCAATTAATATTGTAACTAATATACAAAAATATATTTTTTAAAGGACTGAAGCAGTATTAAAAACAAAAAAAAAAACAGAAAACACTGGAGTCATCATGGACGAAAGATCACCATCACCTCAAAATTAATTTTAATTTTTCTTATTTTTTTATATCATATATTCACAGGAACCATTTTTTTTTTTGTAATTTTAATATTATAATTAATAAAAGAATGAAGATTATTCAAATACTATGACTTATTTTCTAATTATTTAAATAGTAAAATAGAAACATTGCACGTATAATTTCATCTGAAATCGTATTAAAAAAAAAGTTTTTCACTATTTTTAAATATTTAAAAAATGTTTCTTTAAAAATTTTAAAATATTTAAAAAAATCATTTTAAAATATTTAAAAAAATCATTTTAAAATATTTAAAAAAATCATTTAATAATATTTAAAAAATATTTTTAAAAAACATTTTTTTAATATATTTAAAATATTGATTTCACATTTTATTTTGAATGGAAATCTGGCCATTTGAACATTTTAAAAATGATTAAAACATAACTTATAAACCTTTTTCTAACCTTTTTCTAATCATTTAAAAAATATTTTTTTGCTACTTGGGCCTATAACATCCTGAAACACGATGTAAGCGTTAGTTAATAGTAAACATTTTAATTGTACCTATCACCTATTTACTTACTTCTATTCCTCTTCTTTTGTGCGGCGGTGGCGGTGCCGGTCGTGGCCGGCAGATGACGAGCGGCGGTGCCGGTCACGGCCCGTGGATGGCGCGCGGCGGTGCGGGTCGAGGCCCTCGTACGGTGAGCGGCGGTGGCGGTCACGGCCTGCGGTGGCGGGTCTGCCACAGCCGGACCGTTCACAAAGCGCCCGTTCGTCACCGGCCCCGAAAAAATGGTAATATAACTGTTCATTCTAAAAATATAAAAGACGAAACATTCAGCGGATGTCAGCACGATATATTATTTGTTTTTCTCTCTCATACCTGTGCGTACACATAGTATAAGCGTCTAACTACTTTGCCGGAATAAGCGTGGACAGGTGCTTACAAAAAAGTAAGCCCTCTAAGTTTAAATATTCATTCATAAATACGATCCTCGTTGGATGTGTCGAAAACAAGCTAATGTACTTATTTTAA